CATCTAAAAAAGAAAGAGATGAAATGCAAAATATAATTAAAATTCTAAAAGAAAATTTTCCAATCCCAATCCTTTCAGATATTCAATTCATGAATATTTTAAAAACTATTGTTTCCAGTCAGTATTATTTTCATCTAATTTAACATTTAAATAAATTTTGAAATTTTCTCTAAATATTTTTTTTCTCACAGTGCCAACTGTGAGAAGCTTTATCCAACTCATCCAAAGCCCTTCAGATGTGAAGCTTGTGAACATAAGAAATGTATTTGTTTCGAAGTTGTTTTTTTTTCTCATAACTGTTCATCACTGTAGTAAGATTTTGGGGTCGCTTCATGACTAGAAGGAAGAAGGAACTTTCCTGTGTATGCACGAGCAGTTCTCTTGCAGTAGCTGGAGGAATGCATCAAGCTGAAGTGGTTGCTCCTGAGCTCCACGTGAGGCCAGCGTGGTTAGGCTGGGAGCAGTGGGTAGATTAATTTGAAGTCTTCCCATTAGGCACCCAAGCTATCTCTGCTTAAAATCGCAAGGGTAGGCATGGATGTGACATCTCTGCTGGTGGATTCAGTGATGGCCCGGAGCATCCCGAGGTACTGGTACACCATTGACTGGCCCAGGCTGGGGACCGTTCCCAGGCGACACTTTGCCTGTGGCCACCCTGATGGTAGCCTATGGTGTTCAATTTATGGGCAAAGGCTGTTGTATGCAGCAGTGGGAGCCTCAATGGAAGTGACGCTTGTATCGATGGGATAAGCTTTTTTACCATTTTTAATTTCAGTTGCTTTTATGAAGCAAAAGTTTAAATAATGGTATTTATTTAAAAATGGTAAAATTAACTCCATCTTAGGGAGTGGGCTTATGTATTCTTCAGCTCACTTGGAGAGCTTCTTTGGTGACTTCTTCACTGGTTTAGCAGTTTCTGCATATTTTTAGAAGCCCAAAATCAGAGATCTATAAACAAGGAACAAAATAGCTCTAAGCAGAAAAATAAATACAACATTGTCAGCACTACACTGTTTATCTACAGCCGAATCCTCATTCACTTCTTGTATTTGGTATACTTGCACAGTGTATAGTCATAGTATGTGTTAAGAGTGCTCCCCCTTGATTAATGGCTTCTTTGCATGGGACCAAAGTCATTGCTTCCAGTACCAGTTTCATCAAAGCATTTTTGGACCATATCGAACTTTCTGTGCCTGGCGGGCCAGAAAGGAGAATGACTGTGTTTGTACAAAATATGTTTAATTCTATTTTTGTATCAATTGCTTCCTTGTCCTTTATGATCAGAGCTAATCTCCGTGCCTTCTTAGATATTCACTGCATCCAACTGCAGAGGATATTTGCAGGTGGGATCATCACTGAGGCGGATCTTCAGAGTATGTACAAGCAGTAGAGAGATTGCACCTCCCTTGTCTGTAGGTTCCCACCCAGCAGGCTGCAGAGGGGAGTAGGCTCCATTGTGGTTTTGCACTGTGCATGGTGCTACCAGATTAACAGAGATCTTGCGCTGAATCTTAAGAGAGGTATTTCTGACCTGAATTGTAGGACAAACTACAGATACCCAGAGAGTTTTACCCTTGAAAACGTATTTTTATTTTGTATAGTCTAAACATGACCTTTGACATAAAGACAGAAATGTTGAGACCAGATTTAGTGTCCATTTTTACTGTGGTTAATACATGATGTTCTGTAAAATCTTGCAAAATCCCTCAAGTGCACATTTATCTCAAAATAATTTGTTAGTAAAACAGCAATATGTATTGCAACAGTTGTGATCAGCTGACAAACCACTTTGATATAGTACTGCAGCATGACTGTTCCAAAGCCATGAGTTCTCCTGCGTCTCAGTGGCATAAACATTGCTTGTGTCAGATTGTGCAGTCACTTTGTCATGGTCGCGAAGGGAAAGCTCAGTCCAAAAATGGACATTTTTTACTTTCTGCTGGCTTGTGTGAAGTTCAGACTCTGGCAACCAGAAGTGACTCTGAACCCCCAGATGCACATCAATCAGCTGCAGGGCCAGGAGCGGTGACAGCAGGGGACTGTGGGGACCGCCACACTGCGTGTGAGAGGTGCTCCTCTCTGCCTCGTCCTCTGTCCCCCCAAGAAATAGCTCTGTGCATGGAGCTGGCTTGGCCCAGCTTCTCCTTTTCCCCGTGGCTCCCCGTTTAACCAGAAGCAGCGTGGTCCCCGGCGGGGTGAGTGCTGCCAGCCTACTCGTCACACGGTTTTGTCATGGGGTGCGGTGAGCGGGTCCTGCACACTCCCCAAACCAGCGTTTGGCTGCTGAGCATCATCTGAGGCTGCTCGCAAAGACAGCGCTAGGTGCCGGTGGTGCTCGCGCCTGGTTCCCAGGCATGCCTCCTGCCGCCATCGTTGCTGCGGTAGGGGAGTTCCCTGGCTTCTAGGGAGAATTAAACCGGAAGGATTGAAGTACAGACCTCTCTGGCTCCTTGCTCTCATTTTCCCTGGCTTAAGTTTGTATTTACTCCTCCAGTGACAATTTATAGGCCAGTGTAACTGAGGTCAGTGTTTGGCTCTCTGTGTCTCTTTCATCACCTGCAAACTGGAGATAGTAGTGTTTAGTAGGGCTGGGTGAATAATTCATGGCGTGGCTCCTTCTTAAACAGATGTTGCCTCTCTGTTTGCAGATAGTCTGCAAACTATGAGCAGTGGGGTATTATCTTTTGCAGATAGTCTGCAAACAGATTGCATTTTTAAAAAATTTATTTGTTGTTCCGAATTATTCACCAAATACTTTCTATAAATAATTTTATTGGCCTGTAGTGCATCCAGAATATGAATTTGAAGCCTGCCTTATATGAGTATTTGTCATTGCTCGTTAAAATTTATTATTTCAGCAACAATGCCTCCCAGAAAACTTGTCTCATAGAGCCTCCCCAGAAAATAATGCAAGGATGGCATGAATATGTTAAGAGTGAATGTTTAGGGACTACTCCTTTTCTTTTACTACTGATGCAACGTTAATACTAATCTGCCTCACTGGGTGTGGTGAAGATTGGAAAGGTGTTTTTTGAATGTGAAATGCTGCTTAAGTAGACAGCGAAACCCCAGCCCTGGCTGCTCTTCCCTACCTCTCCTTTTGGTAGCAGGTGGTTGGTACGTGGTGGTGTACGGTCCAGCCACTGCGGAATGCAGGTCAGGAGGCAAGCGCGAGAGGTGATACCCTGCTGGGCTCGGAGCCCCTGAACCAAGCCGGGATCCGCGTGACTAAGTCTCTGCTAACAAAGAAAACGGGTGACGGCCAAGAGAGCAAGTAGCATGGCATGGTTTGAGCAACCTGACTGAGTTGAAGATGACTCTGCTCATTGCAGAGGGGTTGGTCTAGATGAGTTTTAAAGGTCCCTTCCAACCCAAACTATTCTATAGTTCTGTTCTGTGGTTCTATTCTACGATTTTACAGGGACCTAATAGTGAAAGAACGTAGGGTCTCTTAAACCTGATTTATGTATTTATCCTTTCATGATCGCACCTAGCACTTTGCAGGATTTCTTTTAATGTTGAAGAGAAATAAATAGATAGAAGGGCCAGGAAAACAAAGAGTCATTGGTGTTAAGCAAGAGGTGTGGACCCTGACTGGCCCTACTTCCTCACTCAACTTAAGAAACGTAAATCAAAAAGCTTCCTAGTGGTGGGAAAATGAAGGGTCAGTTTGCAAAGGACCAGAATATCAGTTCTGCTTTTGTTTTAGCTACTCAGGTGTTGATGCTGATCAATACTGTGCAGAGTTTATAAGCTGTTAAGTTTTGTATTTAACTTCAAATCAAATAGTCAGTGGAAGTGACAAGTGTAAATCTGATGGAGGCTTGCTTCACATCTAAAAATGACTTTTACACTAGCTTGTTTTCACTTGATATTTTGTCAGAGCTAGTGGAAAAAAGGGGAAAAAAACCAGTTTCCTTAGCCTTTCCTTAAAATTTTCGTAGGTAAGGGCATGCAAAAACCTAAGTACAGTACAACTGTCACCTTGAAATAAATGAAGTTGTTGTTAAAGTGCCTGAATCGGTTCTCTATTACAGCTGTTTTTCAGGTGGGTTTCGTTTCAAGAACACAGACGATGGTAGTTTGGAGAAGTTGTGTTAAAAATCTTGCTTGGGTTATAGAGCAGACACGCTCCTCTGCCTGCCTGTTCTCAGACAGCAAATGCAGTTGCTAGCATGTTGCTAGAATTGTGGTGCTTAGGGTTTCCTTCGTCTCCAGCATTTTTTTTCCCAGTAGTTGAATTAGCAATTGTACTGAAACGCTAGCGTGTGCCATGGGAAGAGAAGGAGATGGATAGGTGCTGTGAGACCAGCACAGCCATATGAAAATGTCCTCCTCCCGCTGCAGCTGATGAGAGGTGGGGCTGATTGTGGCAGCACTGAAAGTGTGATGGCAAGAGATCCCATTGCTGTAACCTGTGTCTGGAGAGGGGCAGGTGGGAACTGAGAGGTCCTTTGTGCTGTTCTCGTCAGGGTGAACTTGCTTCTCACTTAAGTCATTGCCCTTCCCATCCATAGGTGTCGTGAAGGAATTGAGGTTGCAAAGGCCAGTGGTGATGGGGAGACCTCTTGGCGGCCCATGAAAGGGGCCTCTTGGCCTGTGCCAAAGCAGCAAAGGGCTGAAGAGGAGGCATGTTTTGGGTTTGGTTTGGTTTTCCTCACACCAGGGTGGTGCTGTTGGACATGAAGCCTGGGGCGAGGGGGTGGTGAGGGGTGTCCATGAGGTGTTCTGAGCTGATCAATAGCTCCTTGCCACTGAGAGGGGATGTCCCCTTTCACTCTCTCTCTCCTGGTATCCCACCACTGCTTTGGAAGGCAGAGGTGGGGAGGGAAAAGGTGCACCTAAGTTAAATCTGAGCAATGGGCTATCATCTCTGACAGTTTGCAATGAGGGCAGCACAGGTCTATTCTTCTTCACAGCCACACCTGCTGGGTGGCTAAAGGAGAGATTTTATGTCCTATGGCTTCTTATACAATGTCATTTTGTTTTGAGCAGATAGGCTGGGGCCTCCTCTTGATATACTGCTGGATTCACTAAACTGCACAGCGTTCAGTGTGCAATGGAGGATGCCAAAGCAGCATGCAAGCACCGTCACGGGGTATACGGTAAGTGGTCCTCTACTCTGCTAGCAGAGGATTGCAATATTCTACGCATGCAGCATTAACAAATAGTACCATTGCCCAGAAGGCGGTTGGGGACAGTGGGCTTGAACAGCCTGAGCTATAACTTTAAGAAACACGCAGTTCATGTTTTAGAAGCAAGCTATGATGGGAATTTGGGTTGGATGCCGTGGGCTTGCAGTGGATGTGGATTGCTTCTCTGTTGTGGTTTTCATGCAAGGATCCTGGCGTGCTCTGCAGCTGACAAAACAGTGAAGTAGAGCAGAGCAGGTTGTTATTACACTGTGCAAGTGAAGGGAGATGCATGGTGATTTCTGGGCCATTCAGATCCTTCACCTTGTACTTCCAGCCTGAGGAT